AGTTAAAGAGTCCTAGACCCGGCGGCTTGCTTTTTCACTTTCTCTCTCTCTCTCTGTCCCTCTCTGGCCAAATATAAATAAATTAAATAAATAAATAAAGTTAAATGAAATAATTATTTAAAAAACAAATGCCAAGTCTATGTCCATGTATGCTCAAAATTCTAAATAAAGGGAGAAGTGGAATAAAGGGATTGTGGTGTGACCATGCCCCATTGGAGATGCTTTCTTGTTTCCCCCGTCTCTCTCCAGTACGTGCACACACTGTCTGACAAATTAAAAACAAATTCTCAGTTCTCACCTTGCGTGGCCTATCGGTAACAGCTGTCCTAGCTGATCACTCTTTCTTTGACTCACTTCCTTCTCGTGGCTCCACATTCATTTATTTCCCTTCCATCCTCAACATCTGTGCTTCTTTCCAGACTCCTTCCAGGACTAAGACTTACATTCAATAATGTCCCCAGAACTCAGTGCTTCATTCTCCTGTTTGGTTTTATTTATTTATTTATTTTTTGGTAAAGTCCATCCATTTATTTCTTCCACAAGAGACAGACAGACAGCCTGCCCACCCCCACGGGATCCTCTCTAGTATCAGCCGGCCTAGATCACAGATGCCTGTGCACACCAACCATGCTCAGGGAAGTCCTCAGACAAAACCCCTAGACTTGGGGCCAGCAAGTGGTACAGGAGTTCAGGCAATGGACTCCCACATGGCCGACCATGGTTTGAATCCAGGACCCGGCTGCTTGAAAATCAAGCCAGGTACTGGGGACCAGCAGGTAACGTGGTGGTTAAAGCACTGGACACTCCCATATGGCTGACCATGGTTTGAGTCCCAGACCTGCTGTCTTGCTTTCCCTCTCTCTCTCTGGTCAAATTAAAATAAATGAATGAATAAATAAAATAATAATTCTAAAAAATAGAAAAAAAGGGGAGGCTGGAGTGGCGTGGTGGTTAAAAGGTCCTAGACTCCCACATGGCTGACTGTGGACCTGGCGGCTTGCTTTCTCACTTTCTCTCTCTCAGTCTGTCCTGCTCTGGTGAAATTAAAATAAATAATTGAATAAAGTTAAATAAAATAGTTATTTAAAATTTTTTTTTTTGAAAAGTCATGCCAGACACATGTGCGAGCATGTCCAAAATCCCAAGAGGAGAATGAAAGGATTGTGGCTCCCCTGGGGCAGTGATTTTTTACTTTTCCTCTCTCTGTCTCTTCCCTCAGGCAAGCACATGTCCAATGGCAAAAACCTAAAACAAAACAAATCAAAACAAGACAGAACTTCCCCATGTGGGTCTAGCTGCTCCACCCCCGGCTCAGATCCTACTATTTGCGCACAGCTGCTTACATGTTTTCTAAGTCCAATTCTGGCCCAGATCTGTCTCCTAAACGCCTATATCCATCTGTCTGCTAAACATCTCCTCTTAGATGGCTAACAGACAACTGTCTACTTCTTGTTGGAGACGTTCAACATTAAAACTTACTTCCCCCCTAAACCTACTCTAACCCAAGGAGCCAGCCCTACTTTAAGTGAAGGCTATTAATTCTTTCAGTTGCTCAAATCGTAAAACCTAAAATAATTACAAGTTTCTCTTTTTCTCTTATATTCTATATTCAGCTCAAATAATCCTATTGGCGGGGCGGACAGGTGGCGTGGTTAAGGGCACTGGACTCCTACATGGCTGATTTGTGGTTTGAGTCCCAGACCTGGCAGCTTACTTTCTCACTTTCCCTCTTTCTCACTCTGTCCCTCTCTAGTCAAATTTAAATAAATAAAGTTAAATAATTCTTAAAATAATAAGAATAATAATCCTATTGGCTTCACCTTAAAATATATCCAGAATCCAATGGCTACTACCATCTCCACTGTTACTTTGGTCCCAGCCACCACACACGTGTAGCTAGGATTACTGCAAATGTCTTTGCACAGATCTCCCTCTTCTTAGTCCCCTACAATCTGTTGTCAATAAAGGAGTAATCTAGGCCAGCAGGTGGCACTGTAGTTAAGGTGCTGGATCTAGGGACCAGTAGTTAGAGTAATAGCTATGTCGCTGGACTCTCACGTAGTCGACTGTGGTTTGAGTCCCAGACCCGGTGGCTTAAGCTCACGCCAGGCATGTATGTGTGCGTGCCCAAGATCCCAAGAGGAGAATAGAGGAGAAGGGATTACGGAGTGGCCATCCCCCTGGGGGGTGATTTCTTGCTTTCTATCTCTCTGTCTCTGTCTTTCTGGTGAACGCACATACCCTATACCAAAAACCTCTCCAAAAAAAAGGGTGCTGGATCCCATATGGCTGACTCCAGAGTCCGGAGTCCAGGACGTGGAGGCTTGCCGGGGGGGTGGGGGTGGGGGTGGGGCTGGCAAAAACCTGGCTGGTAAGGATACTGGACTCCCATATGGCCTACTGTGGTTCGAGTCCTGAACTTGGTGGCTTGCTTTCTCACTTTCTCTCTCTCTGTCCCTCTTTGGTCAAGTTAAAATAAAAAAAGAAAGACAGTTAAATAAAGTAATTCTTAAAAAGAAAGATAGAAAAATACACCAGGCACATGTGCATGCATGCCCAAAATCTTAAGAGGAGAATGAAGAGGGGACTGTGGCATGGCTGAACCCTCTGGGGAGTGAGTTCTCATTTTATCTTCCTCTCTCTCTCATGCAACTGCCATGGCAAAAATCTAAAATAAATAAATAAAGGAATAATCCTATATTTTAAAAAATTACCAGTGGGACCAGCAGTTGACATAATGGCTATGTTGCTGGACTCCCAGCGATATAGCCAACCATGGTTCAAGTCCTGGACCCAGTGGTTTAAACTCAGGTCAGGCACGTGTGTGTGCGTGCCCAAAATCCTGAGAGGAGAGTGGAGGAGAAGAGATTGCAGTGTGGCCATCCCCCTGGGGGGTGATTTCTCACTTTCTGTCTCTTTCTTTCTGGTGAGTGCACATGCCCTATAGCAAAACTTCTCCAAAATAAATAAATAAATAAAAATTTAAAAATCACCAGAAAGCATGTGCACTTGCCAGAGAGACAGAGAAACATAGAAAAACAGCACATTCCCAAAGGAGTGTGGTCACGCCACAGTCCCTTCTCAGTTCTACATCTGGTTGGAATTCTAGGCACACATGCATCCAGCATGCTTCTCCAGCTTCCAGGGCCAGGGATTGAACCATACATAGGCCCTAGCCCCCTTAATTACTAGACTGTGGGACTTGACTCCTAATCTTACAGGGTCTCCCTTATTATCCTATTTAAAAGACCCTTCCAGACCTAGTACTCCGGATTAGTTTATCTGACTTTATTTTTATTTTTTAGCACGTATCACTTTTTAAACATACTGGACTATTCATTTATCATGTTTATTTCTCATTACCATATCTACTTAATTGGGATGTACCTTCCACAAGGACAAGGATCTTTGTCTTCTTTTGTCCACAGCTATATTTCCAAAAATGGCTCCATGAGCACAAAGTGCCACAGGTGACATGTTTCTTGCAGTAGCAGACGGTGCCAGGGGAACAGAGAGCCTTCCCTTTCGTGGGTCTCTATTGACCTCTACCTCCCTCTAGTATCGCCCTGTGCCTCTCTATTCCCATTCATTACTTTCTAGCCACACTGGCCTTGATTCTTGCATACAACAAGACTGTCCCATCAAGGGAACTTCCCTCTAGCTGCCCACACTTTCTCTATTCTTCACATGGTTGGATCCCTTGTCATTCAGATTTCTGCTTAAATGTCATGTCTTCTACGGAGCAGCCTACCCTGCTACCTTGTCTAGTGTACTCATTCAATCACCTTTAAAAAAACAACAAAAAAAGACAGAGGACTGGCAGATGGCATGGTGGTTAAGGGCTCTGGAATTCCCACATGGCCGACCACGGTTCAAGTCCTGGACCTGGCGGCTTGCTTTCTCACTTCCTCTCTTTCTGGTCAAACTGAAAAAATGATAATGATAAATAAAATTAAACAAGTAGTTAAAAAAGAAAAAAAAAAAAAAGACAGTCTCACTCTGTCATGATCCACCTGCCTGTGTCACCACACCTGGCATTATTATTTATTTATTTATTTTTAGGTTTTTACCATAGGCACATACACTTACCGTAGACAGACAGAGAGAGGGAAAGTAAGAAATCTCCCCCCATGGGGATGGCCACATCACAACCCCTTTTCCTTCATTCTCTCAGGGATTTGGGGCATGCACACGCATGGATCTGGTCTGACTTTTAAGCCACTAGGTCTGGGACTTAAACTGTGGTTGGCCATTTGGGAATCCAGTGCCTTAAATACTATGCTACCTGCTGGCTGACATTTAGTTTTTTAGGGTGGGCCAGGAATTGAACCAGGCCTTTCATATGGCCTCAGGCTGAGTAGCAGCATTTGACGCTTGCTACTGCAGCTGGGCCTCAGTCATTTTCTTAATACATCACTGTACTTTAATTCTCTGTATAGCCCTTATTACTTATTTGTGTGTTGTACACTCAAGACAAAGGACAGAGCGAGAAAGAGAGAGAAAAAAAGCACCATCTATGGGGAGTGGTCACACCACAATCCCTTCTCTTCCATCTCTTCCTCCCTTTGAGATTTTGAGCACACATGCACATGTACATACCCAGCAATCTCCTTGAGCTGGTGGACCTGGAACTTGAACCACATAGTCAGACATGTGCGATCTGGATGCCCCAACCACCAGGCCACATAGCAGGCCTGATCAATTCGTTTTAACCTTATCTTCATCCACTCTATCAAATTCCACTTATTTACTACAGACTGAGCTCCATGAGAGATTTTCCTGTTCTATTCTCCACTATATTTCCAGCACCTAGGACAGTAACTGGTATGAAGAAAGTGCTCAGTGAATACCTGAGTGGAAGGAAGCAGATGAACTAAGTCTTGTGGGTGGGGTGGTCAGAATTCATTTTCTTCCAAAGAGCCTCAAGCTGTCCCTGGGGACGCCACTCCAAGGGGGAACAGAAGGCTCCTCTGTTTGGGGTGAGAGAGAAGGTGCCTCACCTCTGAATGGTTTCCTCCTGTTCCTTAACCATATGTGCCAACTGCTGAAAGATGGAGCCCAGCTCTACAATTGTAGACTCAATGTTCTGCATGGTGTCTGCCCGACTCTGGATGTAGGAATCCTTCAGGAGAGGAAGAGACCACATGAGCACCACGAGCTTCTTCCCAGTAAGGCCCGCGTGAGTAGGACCCTCCCAGCTAGCCTTTCCACCCACGGCACACTTCACTCTCTTGGGGGCCACAGAGGACAACAGAGGCGCTGATCCTCCCAGTCCAGAGGCCAGGTACCTGCTCATCAATGAGCTGCAACTGCTGGCTGGTCCGAGAGTCCATCATGTCAATGGCCACATCCCTGGAGGCACGAGACTCTGCCCCCAAAACTGCAGCACCGCCCCCTGGGGAAAGAAGAGAATATGGAACATCTTTTTTTTTTTTAAATTATTTATTTACTTAATCCCAGACAGAGAGACAGAGAGAGAGAAAGAGAAAGGGAGAAAGCAAGTTGCCAGGTCCAGTACCTGAAACTGGTCAGTCAGGTGGGAATCCAGCACCTTGAACCACCATGCCACTTGCTGGCCCCAAACATGAAACATCTTAACCATTAAAAGCAGGTTCGGGAGTTGGCAGGTGGCATGGTGGTTAAGGGCACTGGACTCTCACATGGCTGACCATGGTTCGAGTCCCCGGACCTGGTGGCTTGCTTCCTCACTTTCCTTTTCTCTCTTCTCTCCCCACCTCTCTGGTCAAATTAAAAATAAATAAATAAAATTAAATAAAATAATTCTTAAAAAAAAAAAAAGTAGGTTTGAAGTCTACATGTTCTGGATTTGAATCCTAGTTCTGGCACTTAGTAGCCCTGTGAACCTGGATAGCTCCTTTAACCTTTCTAAGCCTCAGTTTCCTCACCTGTAAATGGAGATAGTAACAGCTGTTTTCTTCTCTTTTTTGAGATTTTTGCTATAGGATGCATGTGCTCACTACAGAGAGAGAGAGACACAGAGACAGAAAGCAAGAAACCATCCCCCCCAGGGCGTTGGCTACGCCACAATCCTTTCTCCTCCATTCTCTTCTCAGGATTTTGGTCATGCATGCACACATGCCCAGCATGAGTTTTAAGCCACTGAGTCCAGGACTCAAACCACAGTTGACTACATGGCAGTCCAGAGATGTAACCATTATGCCATCTGCTGGTCCCAACAGTTGTTTTCTTAAAGGGTAGTTGTGAAATTAAATGAGAAAATGTGAATAAAGTAAGTGCACAAAAACACCAGCTTCTGTCACTCTTGTGAATATAACTAAATTCGCCCACAACAGTGAGAATGTGGAAGACTAAGTGTGGACCATGGATCTCAACAATCAAGATTTGGGGACCAGTAGATTGTATAATAAGTATATCACTGAACTCCCACATAGTTGACCGTGGTTTGAGTCTGGGATCCGGCAGTTTGAAACAGGCTGAGCGCATGTGCATGCGTGCCCAAGATCCCAAGAGAACAGAGGAAAAGGGACTATAGCGTGGCCATCTCCCTGGGGGGTGATTTCTCACTTTCCGAATCTCTCTGTCTCTCCATCAAATGCATGTACACTATAGCAAAAAAATCTTTCCCTCTTTTTATTTTTTTTGAGATTTTTTTTGCTATAGGATATGTGCACTTGCCAGAAAGAGAGTCAGAAAGCAAGAAATCACCCCCCCAGGGGGTTTGGCCATGCCGCAATCCCTTCTCCTCCATTCTCCTCTCGGGATCTTGGGCACACACATGGCCCCAGAACTCACTCTCTCTTAAAAAAAAAAAAAAAAATCCCTCTAAAAACAAAAAAATAATCAATCAAGATTTGACCTCTAGGGACCAGCAGGTGGCATGGTGGTTAAGGTGCTGGACACTCCCATATGGCTGACCACAATTTGAGTCCTGGACCTGGTGGCTTCCTTTCTCACTTTCCCTCTCTCTCCCTGTGTCTCCCTCTGGTCAAAGTAAAATAAATGAGGGAATAAATAAAATTAAAATAAATAATTTTAAAAAATTAAAAAAAAAAAATTGAACTCTGAGAGATTAAGCCCAGCAACTTCTGTGTCCCACCTCCACTCTCCTACCCAATACCTGCCTTTAGAAGATGCCATCATAACTAAACCTTACCACTCAGGCCTTTCCCTCGTGCCTGTGGCTTACCCAGGTGGTTAGGAGCAAGGGGCAGAGCTGACACGGGTGCCCGGGAGAACTGCTCCCGCCGGCTCCTCTGTTGCTTCAGATTCTGGGGGAAAGAAATGCAAAGATCTTGAGGACTCTGGGAAGCAGGCATACTAAAGACTCCTCCCACTGGCCACATTACCTATGGAACTTGTCCCTCCCGCTTCCCTCTTGGGCCTTTACCCCTACACAGCCATCCCTCCTACATAGAATTTTCTCACCTCTGTCCTCACTTCTAAAACCGATTTGAAGTCATTGGACATGGAAGCCAGCTTTGACTGAAAGGAAAGGAGAGAGGGTCAGGCAAAGAAGGTAACCCCTGCCTCCCTTTTCCCCTTGTCCCACTGCCAGGTCTCACCTGCAAGGAGACCACAATGGTGTTAGAATGGGTTTGCAGGTGCCGGCCACTCTGGCTGCCTTTGGCCCTCACGAAATCCTGAAGCTGAGCAATTTGTTTGTTGAGACTATTGATGTCCTGGTAAAAGAGCCACAGAAAACCAAGTATTAACCCAGCAATCCTCTCCTCAGCCAGCATCTCTCCCTGAACCCATCTCTGGCAAAAAGAGCAGGATGGAAATTATTAGCAGGAATGAGTGTGAACCAGACAGATCAGAAAGGCCCACTAGGATTTTCCAAGATCTGGTATTTGCTCTGGCTCAGACTCTGCAGAGAAGAACCAGAAAGAGGCAAAACAGGATCTCATCCCTTTATAAATGAGTGCCTTGTTTACCTCTCCATCCTACTCTCCTGCAGATTCTTGCTCATAGCCACGGAACCCTCTCAAAGGCCAAAATCTCAGACATGGAGTGTGCTAACTGACAAACCCACAAAACACCTGGACAGCACCCAGGAAAAGGGAAGAGTTGAAGGCCTTCCAAGGGGGCCAGATGGGAATGCTGTAGGATCCACAGGGAAAAGGCTCAGTTCACTTCCAGGACCCCACTGTGTGCCCTGGGTTTATGCACTGCGTGCCTCTAATGCTGGCGGGCTGGGGCTGGGGCTGTGCCACCGCATGAAGACCCTGTTGTGGGTGCCTCTCTCTTTCTAATGAAAGAACTAAATGGGAGCCAAGAAATGGTGTAGAGGTTACATCGCTAGACACCCATATGGCTGACCGTAGTTCAAGTCCCAGACCCAGTGGCGTGAAACTCATGCAGGGTGTGTGTGCCCAAGATGCTGGGAGAATGGAGAAAAAGGGACTGTGGTATGGTCATCTTCCCCCAAAGCATAAGTTCTCACTTTCCCTCTCACTGTCTGTCTCCCCTCTCCAACGAATGCATGTGCCCTAAGGCAAAAACCTCAAAAAAGAAAAAGAAATGAATCAAAGTGGTGCAGCAGTAAAACACAATGTTCTGAGAGGAAGACTCATTTGGGATGGTTGCCTATTTACACCCAGAGACCTTCCCGGGTACAGCAGACACACCTGTGCCATGGATCAGGCGGGGGTAGATTGTGGTATCCAGACTCTGTCAAAGGTGTTGTATCACTATCTCTTCCACTCATGGAATAAAGTTTAAAAATAAATAAAATATAAAGGGCCAGCAGGTGGCATGGTGGTTAAGGTTCTGGACTCCCACATAGTCGACCATGGTTAGAGACCCAGATCCGGTGGCTTGAGAATCGCACCAGGTATGTGTGTTTGCATACCCAGAATCCTGAAGAGAATAGAGGAGAAGGGACTGTGGAGTGGCCATCACCCCTGGGGGATGACTTCTCACTTTCCTTCCCACTGTCTGTCTGTCTCTCTGGTGAACTTACTTGCCCTATGACAAAAAAAACACACAAAAACAAAACAAAACAAAAAAAACAAAGGTAGGCCAGCAAGTGGCATAATGGTTAGGGAGGCTAGATCCCATGTGGTCAACTCTGTAGTTCGAGTCTGGGACCCAGTGGTTTGAAGAACACACTGGGTGCGTGTGCGTGCATGCCCAAAATCCCAAGAGGAGAATGGAGAAGGGATGGCAATGTGGCCATTCCCCCTGGGGGGGAGGGGGGGAGGATTTCTCATTTTCTCTCTTTCTCTTGCTCTTCGTTCTCCGGTGAGTGCATATAACCTATATCAAACTAAAACAAATAAACAAACTTAAGTTATTGTAGGGCTGGATCTGTGGCTCAGTGGTAAAGCGCTGCTCAAGAAAAGCTGGATCCTACATAATTCAAACCCTCAATCTGGTCACACCAGATACATGTGCAGCTGCCCAAGATCTAGTAGGCTGGAGGACTGGACAAAGGGGATGATGCCACGACCAGACCCAGAGGAGGTTACTCATCTCTCTCTCTCACACGTGTACACACACACACTTTCCCATGAATAAAGAAAAGTATGACTGTGAAAGCTGGGGCCAGCAGGTGGTATGGTGGTTAAGGGTGCTGGACTCCCACATGGTCAACCATGGTTTGAGTCCCAGACCTGGCAGCTTGGCTTGCTTTCTCTCTCTCTTTATCTCTCTCTCTGTCTCTCTCTGGTCAAAATAAAATCATTAAAAAAAAAAAAAAAAAAAAAGAGTAAAATCTATGGCTTCTTTAACTCCAAGGCCACACACAGTCAACAGCATAGTCAGGTTTTCATGTGCCAGACCAATGTGGATGGGTCATCCACTCTCTAACCCAGCCTGCCAAGGGCCAAATGAGACAAGGGAAATAAAGGAGGAGGCCAGAGGGTGGCAAAGAATGCTTGTCCCAGGTAGCTAGAGCCAGGGGTGGGGCCAGTAAGAAGAAAAGAAGGTGGAAGAAGTCAAAAATAGTGAGTACAAGAAGTAGGCTAGAAGAAAAAAAGGAGATGAGTCCATTTCTAAGGTCTATCCAATAGTCCCTTGAATTAGCATCCCAGCTTCACACACTCCCGAGACCCCTGGACTCATCTCTACTAAAGACTGGCCTGTCCTTTTGGAGCTGCTGCAACCTCCTTAGTCAATGTACAAAACTGCATTCTGGGTTTCTTCCCCACGAAGTCTCCTCCCCTAGTGTTCTGGCTTAGAAAGTGTCATCATGGGACCAGCAGTTAGAGTAATGGCTATGTCGCTGGACTCCCATGTAGTTGAATGCGGTTCAAGTCCCGGACCTGGTGGCTTAAACTCACGCTGGGTGCGTGTGCGTGCCTGCCCAAGATCCTGAGAGGAGAATGAAGAAGGGATTGCAGTGTGGCCATTCCCTCTGGGGGGGTGATTTCTCGCTTTCTGTCTCTCTGTCTCTCTCTTTCTTGTGAGCGCATGCGCCCTGTAGCAAAAAACCTCTCCAAAAAAACCAGAAAGAAAATACATGGGACCAGCACGTGGTGTGGTGGTTAAAGAAGCTGACCGTGGTTTGGGTCCTGGACCTGGTGACTTGGCTTTCTCACTCTCTCGATCTGTCTCTCAAATTTAAATTAATAAATAAATACAAACTGAAGCTTCACAAGAACTTCACAAGGTAAGACTTGCTATTATCCTCCTCTTACTGATACAGGAACTGAAGCTCAGCCTCGTCATGAGCTTCCCAAAGTCACAACATAAGTGGTAGACCTGGGATATAAACTCAAGTCTATCTGAATCCAGAGAGCTGTCTCCTGAATGTCTAGGCAATAACACCCCAGTGGTTACTGGTACTTTCTCTTTCTACCAGCCCAGAATCTTTTGAGTGAGTCTGCTCTGTGGCCTCTGCTATAATAATTTTTCTTCCCCTTTAATTGCTAGAGGGTGCACATGCTCACTAAAAAGTGAGAGAGAACTCCCCTCCTACTGGGTTGTAGTCATGCCTTAATTCTTTTTATTTCTCCATTCTATCAGGATTTTAAGCATGCACACACACCAGTCATTTTTTTTTTGGAGTTTTTTTTTTTTTGCTATAGGACGTGTGTGCTCACCAGACAGACAGAGACAGAGAGACAGAAAGTGAGAGACCACTCCCCAGGGGGGATGGCCACACCACAATCCCTTCTCCTCCATTCTCCTCTCGGGATCTTGGGCACGCAGGCACAGGTGCCCGGCATGAGTTTTAAGCCTCCGGGATTCGAACCGTGGTCGACTACATGAGAATCCAGCGACATAGCCATTACACTAACTGCTGGTCCCACCAGTCATGTTTCTTAAGACACCATGATCAGGATTTGAACTATGGCTGACCACGTGAGATCTAGTTCCTGATGCAGTGTTTGATAACCACTGTCACACGGCCAGCCCTGATGCAATCATTTTTGTACCAACTGCAGCAGCTACCTTAGCCTCTCTTCCCATACACATTACAAATTGGACTCCATCTATGAATACCTATGGCACTCACAATGATTCCTTAGCAAGGCCTACCACCAGTCTTCACCACCCTTGGCTTCCAGCCAATCACTCATTCAATCAACAAACATCAAGTGCTTACTATGTGCCAGACATTGTTATTGGCACTTGGGATATATCTATGAATAAGCAGACAAAAAAACAAAACAAAACAAAAAAACAACTTGCTCTGGGGTCGGCAGATGGCTTGGTGGTTAAGGGTGCTGGACTCCCACATGGTTGGCCATGGTTCAAGTCCCAGACCTGGTGGCTGGCTTTCTCACTTTCTCTCTTTTCCTCTCTGCTCAAATTAAAATAAGTAAATAAATTTAAAAAAAACAAAAGCAAAAACAAAAAAAAACACAACTGCCCTATTATGCTTATGTTTTATCTTGCCTTTGTTTTTTTTTTTGGGGGGGGGAAGGGGAGAGTAGGTAGAGAAAACAGGGAACTAGTCGGAATTAAAAATAAATGATGAGAATTAAAAAAAATTATTTATTTACTTTTATTCATTCATTCATTTTTATTTTGATTTGACCAGAGAGTGACACAGAGAGAAAGAGAAGGAAAGTGAGAAAGCAAGCCACCAGGTCCGGGAATCGAACCGGTCCCCTGCTGGGACCAGCAGGTGGAATGGTGGTTAAGGCGCTGGACACTCCTACATGGCTGACCATGGTTCGAGTCCTGGACCTGGTGGCTTGCTTTCTCACTTTCCGTCCGTCTCTTTCTTTCTGTGTCTTTCTCTGGTCAAGTTAAAATAAGTGAATGAATAAGTAAAATTAAATAAATAATTCTTTTTAAAAATTAATATACAGAATGTTAAAATGTATCAAGTGCTGAGCCAGCAGGTGGAGTGATGATTAACACTGGACTCCCACATGGCCAACTGTGGTTCAAGTCCCAGACCTGGCAGCTTAAAATTCACACTGGGCACGTGTGCAAGTGTGCCCAAAATCCCAAGAAGAGAATGGAGGAGAAGGGACTGTAGTATGGCCTCCCTCGGTGGGATGATTTCTTACTTTCCCTCTCTCTGTGCCTGTCTCTCTCTGGTGAGTGCATACAACCTATGACAAAAAGAAATCTTAAAAAACAAAACAAACAAACAAAAAAACAACGTATAAGGGGGCTGGCAGGTGGCATGGTGGTTAACGGTGTTGGACTCTCACATGGCCAACTGCGTTTCCAGTCCCGGACCTGGAGGCTTGCTTTCTCACTTTTTCTCTCTCTCTCACTCTGTCCCTCTCTGGTCAAATTAAAATAAATAAATAAAGTTAAATAAGATAATTCTTTTAAAAAACAAAGTATCGAGTCCTATGGAAAAAGAGAAAGAGGATAAAAGTTTGGGATGATGGACTACCTCACTCCATGGTCAAGCTAGGTCTCCCTGAAAGCAAGCAATGTTCGAGCAGACTTGAACTTTCCCTCTCATAAGCCATGCCTCTGCACACACTGCTTTCCCTGCCTAGAATGTCCTTCCACAAGTCCTCAACACAAGTCCTGAATTCAACTCAGATTTCAGTTCCCAGCACCCCCAGACTGTCTCATCTTTTCTATACTTCTTGCCTCCTACTCATTTTAAGTATGGGTTTATGGAGCTGAATACTTAAGAGACAATAAGCCCTCGAAGGCACGTTTGCAACACCAGTGGTCAGCACAGTGCTTTGTATGTGGCAGTAATCAGCAAGTGTCTACTGATTCCAGGGAGGAGGAGGATGTTAGAGGCTGCCTCTAGAAACCTGCTCTGGGCCTCCACTGTCATGGAAGATGATGGAGCCCCCCAACTGAAGTGCTGAGCTCTCTTGATAGTTAGTAGCTCACCTGTTTGATGATATATGTTAGCTCCTCGATCTCCACTGCTTTATCATCAAAGAGGGACTTGCGCTTTGCCACTACAGAGACAAATGAGAAGTCACATGAGGTCAAAGGCAGGGATCAGGGAGTTTGGCTCCTCAACCCTCTTTGGCTCAGCCCCCCACCTCTGAGAGACCCCAAGAACACTCACGGATTGTCAGCTTCTCCAGCTTGGCAAATGTGTTGCTGAGATCTTTCCCAATGCGCCTGCAAATGATCACTAGTGAGAACGCTCGAAGAGCAGGAGAGGCCCATACCCACATTAGCTCCGGCACAACCAACCTCAGCCCTCACAGCCAAGGCCACCAAAGGCAAGCTTACTTCTCCTCAGATACAATATTGCCCCACCAGAAGGCTTCCCTCAACTCACTTGGCCATGAGGGTGAATTCGCTCCGCTGTCGGGCGGCACGCAGAGCTGGCTTATTTGTCTGAATTCCATTCTGAAAAAAATGTTGGAAGGTGACAGCATTGGTTCCCCTCTCTTCAGTTCCAGCTTTCACTGTTCCTCATGTGTCTGCTCACTCTCTCTCATAATGCTGCTGTCTGCCATCAGACAATCTAAGTTTACCAGTGGTCCAGATCTGAAGATAGGTAAGCCTGAATCTTGACTAAACCACTTACTAGCTGGGGGATTTGGGACAAGTTGGTTAAACCATTCTGAACCTTTATTTCCTCTTCCATAAAATGAAGACAAGCTTCCCCACCCCCCGAATTCCCACTGTGCTAAGATTAAATAATATTAGGGCTGTAAATGTACTTTAGTCAACTATTTGGTCCAGTCTAAGCATTAAATAAATGGTAGCTATTGTAGCATTGCCATTCCTCGAATCAGGAAATCAAAGACAATAACTAGGGGACCAGCAGGTGGCATGGTGGCTAAGGTCTTGGACATTCCCATATGGCCGACCCCAGTTTGAGTCCTGGACCTGGTGGCTTGCTTTCTCACTTTCCCTTTTTCTCTTTCTCTGTGTCTCTCTCTGGTCAACTTTAAAGAAAATGAATGAATGAATAAAAGTAAATAAATAATTCTTTAAAAAAAAAGATAACTAGAAAGCTCTTGAGGATCATATAGAAGAGCAGTTTTTGGTTTTTTTTTTTCCTTTTTTTGGAGAGGTTTTTGCTATAGGGTATGTGCACTCACCAGGAAGACAGAGACAGACAGAAAGCGAGAGAAATCATCCCCCAGGGGTTATGGTCATGCCACAATCCCTTCTCCTCCATTCTCCTCTTGGGCACACATGCACACATGCCTGGCGTGAGTTTAAGCCACTGGGTCCAGGACTTGAACCATGGTCGATTACATGGGAGTACAGCGACCCAGCCATTATGCCAACTGCTGGTCCCAGAGCAGTTGTTAAAAAGAACTGAACAGGGACCAGCAGGTGGCATGGTGATTAAGATGCTGGACACTGCCATGTGGTTGACCATGGTTCGATCCCAGACCTTGTGACTTGCTTTTGCACTTCTGCCTCTTTCTCTCTCTGTGTCTGTGTGTCTCTCTCTCTGGTCAAATTAAAATGAATGAATGAATGAATGAATGAATGAAGAGCTGAAAAGTAAAACTATTTTAAAATACAATTACATGGGTCTCATTTGAATTCAGAAAGTCTAGACTGAAAGGAAGAAATTTTTTTTTAAGCACTCCAAAGTGATTATGGTAAATTACTGATCTGTGGGCCAGGAGGTAGGTGTGGTGGTTAAGGTGCTGCATTCCACAAGGGCAACTACACAGTTCAAATCTCAAAGCCATCAGCTTGAAAACCGCAGCGGATACCTGTGCAAATGCCCAACATCCAGAGAGGAGAATGGAAGAGAAGTGAATACAGCATGATCTTTCTCCCTGGGTGGGGGGCGGGGTGATGTCTCATTATTTTCTCTCTCTCTGTTTGTCTCTCCCCTGAGCACACATGCCTTATAGAACAATAATAAATAAGGAGTCAGCAGATGATATAGCGGTTATGTCACTAGACTTCCACATGGCCGACTGCAGTTCGAGTCCTAGACCCAGTAGCTTCAAATTCACTGGGTGCATGTGTCCATGCATGCCCAAGATCCCAGGAAGAGAATGGAGGAGAAGGGATTGTGGCATGGCCATTCCTCCTTGCTTTCTGTCTGTTTCTGTCTCTCTGGCAAGCACGTATGTCCTATAACAAAAATATCCCAAAAAAAAAAGAAAGAACAATAATAAACAAATGAAATCACCAATCTAGAAAATTTCCTTCATTATACAGATAGAAAAACTGAGCCTAGGGACCAGCAGATGGCATAACAGTTATGTTACTGGACTCCCACCTAGTCGACTCCAGTTTGAGTCCCAGACCCGGCAGCTTAAACTCATGCCAGGGCACATGTGCATGCATGCCCAAGATCCCAAGGATACTGGAGAAGTGATTGTAGTGTGGTTATCCCCCGGGGGGGGGGGTTATTTCTCGCTTTCTGTCTCTCTGTCTCTCCAGCGAGCATACACGCACTGTAGCAAAAATCTATCTCAAACAGAAAAAAGAAAAAAGAAAAACTGAGGCTTGGGGCCAGCAGGTGGCATGGTGGTTAACGGTGCTGGACTCCCAACGAGTAGACCCCAGTTCAAGTTCCGAACCTAGTGGCTTGCTATCTCACTTTTCCTCTCTCTGTCCCTCTCTGGTCAAATATAAAAAATACGTACATAGGGAACCAGCAGGTGGCGTGGTGGTTAAGGCGCTAGACACTCCCACTTGGCCAACCACAGTTCAAGTCCCAGACCTGGTGGCTTGCTTTCTTACTTTCTCTCTCTCATTCTCTGGTCAAATTAAAATAAAATAAAATGGATGAATAAATAAATAAAATTAAATAAATAAATAATTATTAAAAAAAAAGAAAAAACACCTGAGGCTCAATTTTATATATATGTATATTTTTGGAGAGGTTTTTATTATAGGGCGCATGCACTAGCCAGAAAGACAGAGATAGACAGAGAGACAGCGAGAAATCACCTCCCGGGGTGGGGGGGGGGAAGGCCACACCACAATCCCTTCTCTTCTATTCTCTTGGGATCTTGGGCATGCATGTACAAGTTCCTGGTGTGAGTTTAAGCCATCAGGTCTGGGACTTGAACCGCAGTCAATTACTTGGGAGTCCAGTGACACAGCCATTACGCCAACTGCTGGTCCCAAGGCTCAATTATATTAACCAACTTCTCCATAGTCACAGAGTCAACTTGTAGTAATGTACTGGACCTAGAATCTAAGATTCATATCTCCTAATTAAACAGTCTAGAACTTGTTCTTTATCCAAATCAAATACATTGCAGCTCTTTCTGGTCCTGAGGATTTCCTTCCAGAACAGCAATCCTACCCTGCAGGGATTCTTCAGAAAAGAAGTCTGATCCTTGTCTCTAGTTAGCTAGCTCGCCTTTTCTCTGTTGTTTAGCAGACTGTACTGGGGTCCCATTCTAGCTTATCAGTTCTCCACCTGGTTCCCCAAGATTTACTTCGGCTTAACAGTGGTAAAGGACAGACCTTCTCAAATTTGAGTAAGGGTCTCTCCTCACCTATTCCATTCCCGATTCTTACCTGACGGCTCTGCAGCGATTTGCAGGCAGACAGGAACTCCTGGGTCCGATCCCGGCAGGACATGGTGTCGGGAGGGGGAGGGGCCGGGGCTACTGGAGGGGGCAGTGGGACGATGTCGCTGCTGCTGCTACTGCCAGCAGTTGCAGGGGACAGAACCTGTGTCTTTGAGAGACCCAGGTAGACACCCTGATCCGTGTTCTTAGAACCGTAGCGTTTCCGCGGGATCATCGAGACGCATAACCTCGAACTGTTGTGGAGGGGAGAGTGTCATTCCCCTCCTTCCCCACCGCAAAGTACCCCTGCCAGTAAGTCCTCTGGCCTCTTCGGCACTTGGCACGGATTTCCGCGCCAAGGCCACCCGCAGATCCTGGGGCTCGCCCGCAGCGGGAAGGGCTCGGCTTCCTGCCTGGCCCAAGTTGAACCCTCTTCAGACTCCTTCCAACTTGGCTCTGGCGGCCAGAGCGCGGGCCCGGGACCCTGAAGCAGAGACAGGCCGGTGCCAGGTCCCGTCCGAGGCTCCAGCTCGGCCTGTGCAACTACACAGGCCCTAACTGGGCCCGCTCTTATCCCTCAGGGAAAAACCGTGAAGGGCCTCCCCAGGGAGACCCACTCCAGTGGGCGGAGGGGGGAACTCTAGGTGTTTATTTAAAACAGGAAGTCCCACCCCCACCCAAGTTCCGCCTTCTATGAAACTGCAACCACTCATTAGCTAATGCCGACGTCCCTCTCAACAGGAGCTGTCCTTATTGGACTACCGGGTATTCGTCACCCGGCGCCGGGCCGGCAGCACTAGCTCGCTAGTCCCGGGTCCCTTCCCCCGTCCTCGTCTCCGCGGTAAAGCCGGGTCCCGGAGCAGACACGACAGCCAGGCTCTCTCCGCGAGCAGATCCTACCTCCTCTCTGCCGCCTGCCGCCGCCACCACTGCCACAATCTCCCAGAAAGTCACCGCCTCCTCCTGGGGTGCCGAAGCCGCCGAAACCCGACCAAAGACTGGAGGCCGCCACGTCACCCACACGTAACCCCACCCCCGGTGACGGGAGGCGGCGCCACGCCTTTTCAAGCCGGAACCGGGAGACACGCCTCCCACCACGACGCAGGACCGGCTCCGCCTTCCCATTGGCTGGCCCGGCACCGTGGCCCCGCCCTCGGGGGACTAGCGCGGGGTCCAGGGGACGGGGCCAGTCTGAGGGGAGGAGTCTTAAAGAGCCCGCGGTGGCCGTAGTACCCGCCCCCAGGGCCCTGAGAGTGGGCAGCAGAGGCCTCAAGTGCTCCGGAAGTCCACGTTAGAAATTTTATTCTCTGTAGTGTGGGGCAGACTGAGAGCGGGGCTGAGGTCACCCCTTTTCCGGCTCCTCCTGGATGCCCTCCTGCATGTCCTCCGGAATAGGACTCCCTTGCCTTGGAACCAGGTCGGAGTGTCTTTTGGTTGACCGCGAGGAACCCCGACGACTGAACATGGATAGCCGCCGCCACAGCACGGTGATCAGAAGGCTTTCATTAGACTTGGGTTTCCGGGGGCCCGGGCAGTTTAACCTGGTACCATGGACGCCTGTGGGAGCAGGCGGTGCTCAGCTTTCCGCTCCCAATCCAACCCCCACGTTCCCCCCAGGCCCACCCTTCTGTGCTCCGGATCGCACCTCCCGCGGCTTCCTCCAGGTCAGTTTCCTTGGCTTGCTCATCAGAGGTCTGACAGTCCTTGTCCTGGCAGCAGCCCATGGCCCCGCTCGCCCGGACTTAATGACACCCAGGCCAGCCTGCTGGGCTCCAGACCCGGCTTTTGTGACGTCAGCTATCCAGCCGCCCCAGTTCAGGGAGCCCCCACCCCAAGCTACCCCTTTCCTTTCTCCCATCACAAAAGGCTCAGGGTCATGGTGGGTGCTGAGCTGTTTATTTACAAAGTAGGCAAGGGGTCTTCAGGGGCTGGTGGATGGAGGCCTTTTCTTTTTTCTCCTGGTTTGGAGAGCCCCTTGCTTCTGCTCCAAATCAGGAAGCTTCCTCTTGGCAGCTGCCTCCAAGGATGCCCAAAGTTCGTCTGTCTCTGTGTCTTCTGGGGACACCTGGTAGGGTTCTTCAGGCTCCCGGGGCTCATCCTGGTGAGTGGAAGCCAAGAGGATGTGACAGATCCATCAGGAAAGAAGCCCTAATGGGGAACGAATCCCTCTGGATACCACCACCTTTATGGTCTGTTCCAGGAAACCATGCTTCTAGGTGTGTCACCCTTGGCATGCTAACAGCCCTCAGAGAACTTGAGTAGAAATTGAGAGAAACTGAGAGAAATTGAGTAACCTCACAGGTAAATGAATAGCGCCAGGGTGGAGTAATAGCTGCCTCCCTTTTCTCTCCCCAAGGAAATTCTCACATCTGTGCCCTTACTCTCACATTCCCAGGCCCCAGTGCTCACCTCCCAATTTTCTCTGCCTGACAGGAGAAGGCAGTTCAGTCGTGACTTGAGGTAAACCTGCAAAAAATAAGAGGCCTTAAGGAGTCTAGGCACACTGAGATAGGCAGAAACCTGAGTGGAGAGCAGAGGAAGTGGGGGCTGCAGGAGACCATGCGTTAGGCAGAGGAGGAGAGGTTCAGATGGTTGGGCTCTCACCTTATGCTCCAGGCCCCGTGGATCCCGGATCCTGTGTATCCTTAGGACCCTGTCTAAGCCGCAGGAGGCTAGTAGGGGCTTTGAAGGGTGGCACTGCAACCCACGGACACTGCCTGCCAGTCCCTTCAGACAGCCCAGTAGGCGCCCTGGAGAAGGTGGGGAGGCATCAGTGCTGGCTGACTGGCCAATAACCATTTTTCTTTTTAAGAATTATTTAACTTTCCTTATCATCATCGTCATCATCATCATCATCATCATTTTAACTTGACCAGAGAGGGAAAGTGAGAGAGGAAGCCACCAGGTCAGGGACTCGAACTAGTCAGTCATGTGGGAGTCTCGCACTTTTTTTTTTTTTGGAGAGATTTTCGCTATAGGGCGCGTGCACTCGCCAGACAGACAGAGAGAGACAGACAAAAAGCGAGAAATCACCCCCCGGGGGGATGGTCACACCGCAATCCCTTTTCCTCCATTCTCCTCTCGGGATCTTGGGCACGCATGCACACGTGCCCGGTGTGAGTTTTAAGCCACCGGGTCTGGGATGCGAACCGTGGTCGACTACGTGGGAGTCCAGCGACATAGCCATTATGCTAACTGCTGGTTCCCCCGGAGTCTCACACCTTAACTACCATGCCACCTGCGGTCCTCTCATGACTTTTTTTTTTTTTAGTGTCTCTTGTTCAGGCCACTTTTTTTTTTTTTTTTTTTTTTTAAAGTTTTTGCCACAGGGTACGTGTGCTCTCCAGAGAGGCAGAGAGTGAGAAATCACCACCTGGGGGAGATGGCTACACCACAATCATTCTCCACTCAGGATTTTGGGCACACATGCCTGGCATAATTCTCAAGCCGTTAGGTCTTGGACTTGAACTATGGTTGGCCATGTGGGAATCCAGCACCTTAACCACCATGTTACCTGCTGGCTCCAACCACTTTCCATTTTAACCACTTATTCCTCAGCACAACTCTGAAACACATATGACCATTAATACTTCTCTTTTATAGATAAGGAAACTAAGAAGTTGAAATAATTTGTCCAAGGTCATACAGCTTCTAGTGGGACCAGGATTTCAACCCAGGCACGGGCTCCACTGCACACCTCGCTGGAATCCTACCCTTCTTCCCTGTCCCTCCCCTCTCCCAGCCTGCTCACCTTGCCGAAGGTCAATTTCTGCCAGCTGCCCATGAGTGTTCCCCACGATCACTGAACTAAGAAGATCAGAGGCAGGGAGCAGGGGGGTCAGCAGGAGCCTCCTAGAGTCCTTCCTAAGCCCTACCCACCCACCCACTCACCCCTTTCCCCTCCTAATACTCACTTGCCTCCAGGAGTGAGGGTCATAGCTGTCAAAGGGTACTCTCCATAGGTGGTCTCTAGAACTGGCCGGCGCTGAGGGGAGGCTGGATCGTAGATACGGACCTAGAGGAATGAGGCGTCAAGAGTGCCCTCACCCATACACCCACCTCTGGACACTGCTTTCTTGTTTATGATCCAGTTCAGAGACTCTGATTTGGCAACGCACGCCTCCTCTGAGTGTTAGGGGTGGGGGAGCTGCTTAGGAGCATGAACGGACAGGGCTGAGGGGATGGGTGAGCATCCTATCTCCCTATCCTCGTGTCGAGGGGACGTAGAGGGATAGAAAAGCACAACAGTCCTGTAACGAGAGGGTGACAAATTTCAAGTAGAGGGTTCAGCCTGAACAAGGGAGAAGGGGGAGCTCTCATGTATCCGGAGCGGAGGTGTCACCCAGATCAGAGTGCTGTGCAAGAGCAAAGGACGCGAGGCCAATTCAGTGACTGGCCTACCTGCATCTCAGGGCTTCAAATGAGACAGGCCCTTCAGGAAAGCTGGGGAGCTACACCCAGAGATGGGTGGTCTCAAGCAAGTCAGAGGCGGCCTCAGGACCAAGAGCCAGTTCTCTGACGCCCAGCACAATGTCCTCTCATAACACCTGCACCCTGTGGACCCCACTATGAAGCGGACCTTCCCTTCTCTCCTGTCTTCCAGATGGGAGGAAAAGTTGGAGCCATAGCCAGGAAACCCCATCCTAGAATGCAGTAAGGGAAGGTCCCGGGCTCAGCAACAGGGCTGGCACAGATGGGCAAGCTCAGGATGGAAGCCAGACAGTGAGAAGCGAGATGGCGCAGTGCCAAACCACAGAGGCTGCTCTGCACTGGGAGGCCATTCCCTAGGAGCTGATGCAGTCCAGGAGGAGAGAGGAATGACATGGCACCTCACCTGATGGTACCCTGTGCATGTGACGAGCTTCTGTGACCCGGGAAGGAACTGGATGTCCTGGTCCCAGATGGGAACCCGCAGGTCGAGCCAGTCATTCCGCACCTGGGGCAGAATAGATGGATGGGGACAGGGTTGCGGGGGACGTGGTGTGCACCTTCTTTACCCCTCTTTCATCACCCCCCAAGCCCATCTGGTCTTAGTGTCCCTCCACCTTAGATCGGGCCCTTCCCATCCCGGTCACTCACATTCTTGGCCCTGAAAACAGGTTCCTCAGACCCCTGCAGGTCCCACACCTTCAATGCATTCTCCTTCCCACCTGTGGCAACCACATGGGGGTGTGCTGGGTCCTGGCACATCCTGCACACTCCAGGGCCCACACTGAGTTCCAGAAGCTGCAGGGAATAGATAAAGAATCTGTTCCGGAGTCCTTAATCCTCCTCACAGACCACATTACACTTCTACCCCGGCCCCGCCTCCCTCGACGGGCCACAGGAGCCTCACTGGATCAGAAGATGCGTCTTTGTCATTATCTCGCCAGACTCTGAGGACCCCAGAATCCACACATGTGATGAGAGTGCTGTTGGCAGATGAAGGATAGAGTTAGAATTAAAAGGTCAAAAGGAATCAGTAGATGGTGTAATGGTTACATTGCTGGGCTCCCACGTAGTCGACCGCAGTTCAAGTCCTGGACCCAATGGCTTAAAACACGCTGGGCACATGCGTGTGTGTGGCCAAAATTCTGAAAGAATGGAGGAGAAGGGATTGCAGCGTGGCCATCCCCCCGGGGGGATTTCTCGCTTTCTGTTTCTCTCTCTCTCTCTCTGGTGAGTGCACATGCCCTACAGCAAAAATCTCTTTCAAAAAGTATAAACGTGTTTTCTAGGCTTCAGCCTACACCCCTTCCCCAAGATTTGAATTAACTAGACTTCTCGGAGCCCCGTTGGTAAGGAAGCTTCTAGGTAACTGGGGCCTAGGCAGGACAGGACAACTCCGGCTTCATCTATTTGACAGGAAGATTTACCAGTTTCATAAATGAGGAAACTGAAACGCTGAGAAATTAAACCTGCCACTCAGCTACAAAGGTCAGGAACAGAGCTGGAAATTGGGTCTGTGATACTCCAGAGTCTGGGGCCCCTGGTCCTGCTCGTCTTTCTGGATTTTCTATCACCAAGGGTCAGAATCAGCAGCCCTGTAAGGACTGCAATGGGACTGGTCTGAATTTGGGATCTGGCCAAAGTTGAACACTAACTTCTGGAGTTCCTCGTTACGGGTTTCAGGCGCTAAGTGTCAATCTCTCTCAAACACTCCTCCCAAGAAGCCCACGCCAGTCTTCCCTCGGGCTGTACAGTCTAGGCCTGTGTTTCTCACAGCCGTCGGCCCTCTCCACCTGGGTTCAGACTCTTTATGGCTAGCCTGACTGTGGCCAAGTCTCCCAGTTGCTCCCACTCCAACCCATTCTCACACCAGCAGGCTTAAAGCTCTGACCACTGCACTTCCTGCGCAAAAACTAGTAACTGGTTGGGCTCCTTGGCCTGGTGGTTAAGGCAGCCAGATCCCACATGATCAACCACACAGTTCAAGTCCCAGACCCCACAGTTTGCAAAACATTCCATGCAAACATGCCGAAGATCCCAAGGGAGAAAGAGATGGAGAAGGGATCAGGGGCTGCTTTTTCCTCTTTCTCTGGTAAGTACTAGGGAAAAGAGATACTACCTAAAAAAGTGCAAATCTTTCAACCTAGCACTTAAAATTCTTTATACTAAATTCCAACCTAAGGCCAGCAGGTGGTGTGGTGGTTAAGTTTCTGGACTCCCATGTGGCCAACTGAGATTCAAGTCTCAGACCTGAAAGCTAACTTTCTCACTTTCCCCTTCTCTCCTCTCTGTGGTCAAATTAAGAATAACAAATGGGGGCTGGCAGGTGGCGTGGTAGTTAGGGGTGCTGGACTCCCACATGGCCGACCATTGTTCGAGTCCTGAACCCAGTGGCTTGCTTTCTCACTTTCTTTCCCTGTCACTGTCTGTCTCTCACTCTGTCCCTCTCTGGTCAAATTAAATAAAATAACTTAAAAAAAAAAAGAACAAATGGAATTAAAGAAATAACTTCTTTTTTTAAATTTAACTTACACATATATATTTTATAAAAGAATTATTTTTATTTAACTTTATTTATTTATTTATTTTATTTGACCAGAGAAAGTCAGAGAAAACGAGAAAGTGAGAAAACAAGCTGCCAAGACCAGGACTCAAACCATGATCGGCCATGTGGGAGTCCAGTGCCCTTAACTACCATGCCACCTGCTGGCCCCATATTTATTTATATATTTTAATTTGACCAGAGAGAGAGAAAGGAGAAAGCAAGCTGCCAAGTCCAGGACTCAAACTTGTGGTTGGTCATGTAGGAGTCCAGTGCCCTTAACCACCATATCACCTGCCGGCCCCAATAAATATAATCCCCCCCCTTTTTAAAGATTTATTTAATTTTATTTATTCATTCAATCATTTTCATTTCACCAGAGAAAGACAGACACAGAGAGAAGGATAGTGAGAAAGCAAGCCACCAGGTCCGGGACTCAAACCATGGTCGGCCATGTGGGAGTATCCAGCGCCTTAACCACTACACCATCTGCTGGCCCAAAATAAATAACTCTTAAAGAAGAAAAAAACAACCTAATACAACTCTACATTTATTTATTTTTGAGAGAAAGAGATTTTTGATATAGGGTATGTGTGCTTGCTGGAGATACGGAGAGAGACAGAGAGACAGAAAGAGAGAAGTCACCCTCCAGGGGGTATAGCCATTATAGCCATGATGCCATCCCCTCTCCATTCTCCTCTTGGCATCTTGGGCACACATGCATACATGCCCGGCATGAGTTTTAAAGTCAGGGGGTCCTGGACTCGAACCACAGTCGACTACATGTGAGTCCAGCAACGTAACCATTACGTCATCTGCTGGTCTCACAATCTTACATTTAAATGCTTCCCCAATTCAACTTCAAATGCTATTTTTCATATTTATGTACCTTGCAGTACATAAGTATGCCACCAATCCTTGGCCTCTGCCTAGGCAGTAACCTCTTTCTAGAATGGTCTCATCCCTTCCTCCACCTGTCAAAATTCTACCCATCCTTCAAGACCCAGTAGAAACACATTATCCTCCCCAAAGAACCTTTCCAGATCTCACCTGTCAGGCTCAACCTCACCAAACCTACCCAGTCTGTCCACAAGCTTCATCTCCAGAATAAAGTATGGCAGTAAACTAACCACTAGCTTCCTATCCTTTCCTTTGGGATCTTCATCACCTTGTTGAGATTGTTAGTCCTTATTTAAAAAGAAAAGAAAAGCAGGCTCAAAACTATTAATATGGCTTGCCCAGAGTTACCCAGAGGTTATGATGGATCCAGAAGAAAAATCCTAAAGGATGCGAACTTGATGAAGGCAAGAACTTAACCCGAAGCCCTAGGCCCTGAAACTCAGTAGGTGTTTAATGTTACAGGTCTGAAAAACGAAGGCAGGAACCGGGTCCCTGTCTCGGGGAGCCCCAACGTCTCCCTACACCCTGAGCGTAAAGCGAGGGGATCGGGCTTACCCGTCGACCTGGGCGAGGCCGCGGAACGTGCCCTCCCCGCCGGGGCAATGCCTCTGACCCTGGAATGCCCCCTCCTCGGTGCTGAAATGCTTCACCGTCCTATCCACGCAGCCCACCAGGATCTGCAAACAGAGAATGGCGCGATGACCAGGGAAACGAGGCCCCTGGCCCCCAGCTCCGGCCGGGCCCGCGGCCACTCACCTGGACCTCGCCACCCGCGCCCCAGCACAGCGCGCTCACGGCCTCCTCGCGCCGCGGCTGTCCCGCCGACGTGAAGTTCGCCGCCTGTTTGCGCTGAAGGTTCACCCCTGCGGGGTGACAGCGTCAGTCGCGCCTGGGTCGCGAGCAGGCGACGCCCCCTCTCCCGGATGGCCGGCTCCGCCACCCACCTTTCAGGATCCCAGTCTCGGTGCCGACCCACACATGGTTCCAGCGAGCTGCAGCCCCCCATGGCTGCCCCAGGAGCCGACAGGCCGCACTTCCGGCGCGGTGTCTGCGTCACCCGCAGGCGCCGGGTCTGATCCGGTGTCTCACGGCTTCGGGAGCTGTATTATCTTTTTTTAATGAATGAGAAATCACTCCCAGAGGGATGGCCAGGCTGCAATCCCTTCTCCTTCATTCGTTTCCTGGGACTTTGGGAATGCAGGCACACGAACCCTTTTAACCTTTTTTAAAGATTTTTGGTATAGGGCGCGTGCGCTCCCCGGAGAGACAGAGACTGAGAGATAGCGAGAAATCACCCTCCAAGGGGGGATGGCCGCACCGCAATCCCTTCTCTCCGGATTTTGAGCACCCACGCACATGCCTCCAGCGTGAGTTTTCAGCCACTGGTCTGGAATTTGAACCAGCGGACTACGTGAGAATCCAGCGACTAACCATTCCGCCTTCTGCTGGTTTCTCCAGTGTGACCTTAAAGCCACCAGGTCTGGTGGGAGGGAGTATAGCACCTTAACCACCGCCCACTTGCCTGCCCTGCTTTTGTTTTATTCCATTACCAGAGAGTGCCTGCCCTTGTGAGAGACATTCAGAGAGAGAGAGAGAGAAAGCATCCCCTGTAGGATGTGATCACGTTGCAGTCTCCATCACACCACCCTGGTGGGATTATGGGCCTGCTTTTTCTTTTTTTTTAAATAATTATTTATTTTATTCATTTGTTTATTTTTTTCAGTTTGACCAGAGAGAGGCAGAAGGTGAGAATGAGAGAAAGAGGAAGTGAGAAAGCAAGCCACCAGATTCAGGACTTGAACCCTGGTCGACCATGTGGGAGTGACCAGCGCCTTAACCACCACGCCACCTGCTGGTCCCTGCTTTGTTGTTTTTAATGCCGCCTACAGACTCGCCTACGGGGCTGGAGTGGCGCCAGCTTACCTTAACCACTAGGCCATGGCAGGCCTGCTTCTGGGAGTCTGAAAGAGCCAAAGCGTGAAGATTCCTGCCTGTCCCGGCTTGTGTATTTATGTAAAAGAAACCAAGAGATGCTTCTTTATGGATGTGAAGTACCTGGGTCGTTTTTGCATTTGGAGTAACCGCGCTATCAGGCCGAGTCCTCGTCCTCCTCGCTGCTCCACCGCGTGACTTGTTCTGTTCCGCAAAGATACCGCTTCCGAAACTTCCAGTTACTGAGGGCCTAGCCGCCGCCAGCTCTCACTGCTAAGATGCTGTGCTCTCAGGCTCACGTGGGAGCCGAAGTTCAGCTTTTTAAATTTTTATATACATTGAATTACTGCACATCACTATAGCTCGTAAAATTAATTTACCCAACAGGAACACACTTCCCACCAGTCCGGATGTTCAATTTCTGGTCCACCAAGCCCAGCAACTCCGGGAGGCTGAGATGAGACCCACCCCCTCTGGGGAGGAAGAAGGAAAAAAAAGCCTGTAGCTTCATTGCTGGGTGTAAAAGACATAAAACAAAACAGGTGCTGGCAGATGGCCTAGCGGTTAAGGCCGCTGGATGGCTGACTACACGGACCGTGTTCAGTGTTCAGATACTTGAAAAACACTCCATGCACGCCTGTACCTGCATGCCCAATGGCAAGAAGGTGAGAAAAAGACAAAGATGGGAAAAGAGGAAACGTTTCCAACAGCTTCTGCGTAGGAAAGTAGCCACGGGTGTCGTTTTTATTTATTCTAACTCAGGTTTGGAGACACCTCAACACGGGTAACAAAGTTCTCCCTAAGGAATGAAATTCTAAGGAAGGAATGAAACTGTTCGCCCATCTCTCCTGTGGCTGCTGCACCTGCAGAGTAGTGCACTCTGTATGTTAGCTTTATCCAAACTCGTTCTTACGTTCAGAAGCTTTACATTTAGCAAAAACCACCACTCCCGGAGAAGCAGCAGTTCTAAAACGTAATCTCCCAGAGTGAGTTTTTGCTAATGAAAAGAGTAACATAAGAAAAATTACCCCCAGCACTGATGGCTACATAAACCTTTCTCCCCAGACCTTAAGCAGGAACGCACACAGAGTGAGTTTAAGCCAAGTCCCCAATTCATGCCCTCTCATCTTACCGTAACTTGCATTATAGACAAGAGAGGTGCACCTTTTACTAACTTCCCACTGTATTTAATGTAGCTTTGCTCTCTGTAGGTTAGACGGCACAGTCCTAACGAGGATATTTCCCACTCCATCAGATTAGGTGGTATGTCAATCTGCTATGGAACAGAACTATCCCCTTCAAACTAAAAGCTCACTATCTTGCTTTATAAATAAAGCCTCAAGACATGAAATGTCTAACCTTAAAACCACCAGTTTCTCCCCCAAGAGGGGGGTGCACCGTTCCTGGAAGTACTGCAATACCAGGTCGATGCGTGGAGTGGACGGAGCAAGCTCCTACTCCATCTCCTATTTCCAAAAATCCATTTAATATATTGTCCTCGGATAGAGGACGTATCAGATATTAAACTGATAAGAACAGATACTACACTTGATCTTAGCCAAAAGGCCGAGAAGCGATACCTACCGCTCCGCGCCTCAGCCATCCTTACTCGTGCCACTGCTTTTACAGTTGTGGTGATTTTCCTGGTGCAAAAATAAAATTATTTTCTAATATTTAGTAGTTCTTAAACTCAATGTTTTTATTATTTCCATTATAACAGAAATTATATTTGGGGGAATAAGCCTTAAAAATCGTCCTTTTCTGCTTCTCCCGGCGCCTCTCTGCTCAGGGTTTATTTTGCATAAACCCGCCCTTCGCTTGTATAACGTTTTAGGATTGGTCTATGAACAATCGTCATTTCAAAGTCCGCGTGGCTTCTTTTTCTCCTAGGTGTGGCGTCAGTCTTGCAGCCTGAAGTCCGAGGTGCTACCTGGTAAGGCGGCCTGCCCAGCCTGGTGACCAGCGGCGCCCTTTTTCCGGACTGTATTGTGAGAGAACTGGGTTGGGATCTCCGCTGCTACGAGGCGTGCGCACTGGCCACATTGAGACAGGGAGACGGAAAGCGAGAAATCACCCCCAGTGGAGATAGCTACCCTACAATTCCTTCTCCACCTCCATTCTCCTCTGAGGATTTTGGGCACGCACACGTCCAATGTGTTTTTCAAGCCTCCGATCCAGCCGCCTTAACCCCCACGCCGTCTGGTGGCCGAAGACATCCTTTTACTGTAATTCTGGATCCAGCGGTGGGAGAGAGAGGAGGCAAGGGCTTGGCCCACCCAAGCCCACCCGTCCACGTGCTCTTTAGTTGAATTTTTTTTTTTTTTTTGGAGAGGTTTTTGCTATAGGGCGCGTGCGTTCGCCAGACAGACAGAGACAGAGAGACAGAAAGCGAGAAATCACCCCCCAGGGGGGATGGTCACGCCGCAATCCCTTCTCCTCCATTCTCCTCTCGGGATCTTGGGCACGCACGCACACGCGCCCGGCGTGAGTTTTAAGCCACCTCCACGTGCTCTTTAAACAGTGCTCTTTTCTTTTCAGGCCAGAAACGTGGCTAAGCAGCCATACACTTAACTCCAAGCCTGGAAGCCTCTCCTTAAAGGCAGAGACAGGTTGTTGTAGGGGTTGGGGGGAGGAGGAAGTGGCGAATAAGGGTAAAATTTAAAGGAAGCAATTTTGTTTTCTATTTTTTAAAGAGTTCTTTTATTTCACTTTATTTATTTAATTTGATTAGGCAGGGTAAAAGAGAGAGAGAGAGAGAAAGTGAGAAAGCAAGCTGCCAGATCCTGGACTCAACCCACAGTTGACCATGTGAGAATCCAGCACCCTTAACCACCACACCGCCTGCTGACCCTGAAGCAATTTTTTTCCCGATAGGGCGCTCTCCAGAGACAGAAATGCTGAGAGAAGGAGGGGAAATGAAAAAGCACACACCTCTGCCCCAGGATATAGCCACACTGCAATGAATTCCTTCTCCTCCATTATCTCTGGATTTTAGGCATCCATGCACTTGTGCTCAGTGTTTCCTTCAAGTGCTGGGTGTAAAACTTGAGCCTTGAGACCAGTGGGTGGCCGAGTGGCTAAGGCACTGGACACTCCCACATGGTTGACCACGGTTCAAGTCTTGGACCTAGTGGCTTACTTTTTCCTCTCTCTCCCTCTTTGTGTGTCTCTTTGGTCAAATAAAAAATAATGAATAAAGTAAATAATTAAAAAAAAAAAAAGACTCGAACCTCGAACCACATGTGGGATCCTGCCGTCTTAACCTCACACCACCTGCTGGCCTCCCAAAAAAAGGTGATGCAGGTCCCCATTAGTAAGCCCAGAGTGTCCAGAGAGATGCCAAATTAAGGGAGTGTGATAGGCAGAATAATGCTCTACCCCAAAAGATGCCTATGTTTTAGTCTCAGAACCTCTGAATGTTATTTTACATGACAAAAGGTACCTTGCAGGTTTTTGTCTTGATTTGTAGGGCACATGTGCTTGCCAGAGAGATTGTGCATGTGAAAGAGAGCGAGAGAGGTAGAGAGAAGGGCATGGGATGTGAAAGCACCCTCCATGGGGGATGATCACCCACCCCAATCCTTTTTCCTTCATTCTTCTCTTGGGACTTTGGGCACACACACACGTTTCTGAAGTGTTTTCAGGCCTCCAGGTCTGGGCCTTGAACTACATAATCTTCCATGTGGGATCCAGCTGCCTTAACCACCATACCATTAGTTAGCCTGTAGATGTGTTTAAATCAAGGATTTATGATGGCGAGATCATCCTGGGTTACCTGGATGGGTTCTGTGTAATTACAAGGATCCTTCTGAGGGATAGAGGGGGTCAGGAGAGTCAATATCACAGTAGAGAGATTTGAGGACCTGTTGCTGGCATTGAAGATGAGAGGGAGCCATCAGCCGAGGAAGTTGGCAGCCTCTGGAAGCCAGAAAAGGCAAGGGAATGTCTTCCTCTTTGGAGCCTCTAGAACAGAATGCAGCCCTGTCAACACACCTTGATTTTAACTATAGAGACCCTTTCTGGACCTCTCACCTACAGAATTTTTTTTTTGACTGAAATTTCACGTTTATTTATAATACACACAAGCCATGCCTGACAATTAAGAAAATGCTATTTACATA